TCGCCCAGCCACCGCACCAACCGTGCAGTCAGTTGGTCCGGGGTCAGTTAAAACACTACGGATGTTTTGAGTTTTTTTTTGTTGTGTCGCGGTCTCTGTAACTATCTATTTGGTGTTATCTATCACATGATAACTATTCTTATCGTAGATACTTATTACACCAAAAGACGTTATAGTCCTGAGGTTAAGAGGCCTGGTTCACATGCATAGGCAAGTAACAGCGTGACTGAAATAATCTAAGACAGTACAGTATCTTTCCAAGTTAAATGTACTTTCTAAGATACCAATGATAAACGCTGTGTAGAAAAACATCGTAAGCAAACTTGAACTCATAATTTCCAATCATTATTTGCTAATCGCTTTGTGATTAATACTCATAAAACCACTACAGAATGAACTTGCACGGTTCTCTAACATTATGTTATTTTACATTGTCTGGACGTCAAAAGAGACTGACCTCTGAGTTTGTTTCGGCATTTCTTCTCAGAGTAGTCAGATAGGAAATGCCAGCTTCATCTAGTTAGTTAGACGTGTAAAAGAACCGTTTTATGGCTTATTTGCAAAAATAAATTCATTGTTTCATACATTTCCGTGTGGAGAAGGGGCCTTTGTTCATTAGTGACTGTGGTAACTTGAAGCATGGTAATTATAAAGAGACACCAATTATAGTTAATAATATAGTGATGGTATTGCTATTTACTTTTTCTATTATAAAAAGTCTTGAATGAAACCTTTTTTATTGAAATTGTCTTAAAAATATTTACAAAGGGTAATGAAAACGGGCGTATAATTTCGCAGCACTATTAAGAGTTCTGTCACCCGGCTCACAATTAATTGAGAACGAGTTAATTCATCAGTTGAATGCTATTTTTAGACCTTCTAACTCAAAATAAGATCTGACGTCTTTTTCTTTGACAAAGTAAGCGAAGGAATTTAGATGAATAGTTATAAATAGTTACTTATTACCTTACCTTTTAATTAAAATTGTTAGTATTAACAAAAACTTTATGGAACTTTGTTTGTCTTTTTCACCAAGTGGTTGTGAACCAGGTCAGACAATAATTATATTTTTGAGTTTTCGAAAATCTACCATTATTAATATTATAAATGCGAAAGTAACCCTGTCTGTCTTTTCTTCACACCTAAACTACTGAACCGATTTCTGTGATATTTGGTACAGACATAGTTTGAAACTCGAGAAAGGATAGGCAGATTTTTGGATTTTTTTAAAAAAATCTTCAAGAAGTCTCTATTCCACGCGAACGGAGTCGCGGGTAAAAGCTGGTAGTATATAAATTGATTGCTCAGCTGACACGGTGGCTGAACCGGCTACCGTGCAAAGTATCATGGGTTCAATTTCCACACGAAGAAACTCATTCACTTAACAGAAAATGGGCCAGAGACAGCTTGTTTTCCAAAATTCTTTTCACTGATAGATAGCCAGAATATACCTGAGTGCTATACATTACACTTGATTTGCGTTTTTTAGTTGAGCTATTTAGATTCACTTTAAAAGTTTTGAAATCCCGGGATCCATAAGATTAAGGACTCGTTTACGTTTAGGCGGCGCGTTGTGCGGGTGCGATGGGCGGTTCGTCATACATTGCTCGTGATGTTCATATGTTTGTGTTTACACGGCCGTTGACGCGACTTGATGCTGTAATGTACGACAAAAGAAATATGCGCCGCGCGACGCCCCGCGTTTACGTATACGAGACCTTATTACGCGTGCGAAGCTGCGGGTGGAAGCTATAGTTCAATCTGGCCACATTATTTTGTAGTTTGACATTTGCAGTTGTCAAATTGTTGTCTCTAATTATGGAACGAACTATAGTCAAAATATTTTTATTTTCTTTTACAAAACAGTGTCGTGGGAACGACACATTTTCGACTTAGGTTTACAAAAAATATCTTGTTCATTTAGTTAGATGTTCTTAAATGTCTGTGTTTAGGTACTAAAATAAGGCTTTCGTTAATAAGATCTTAAGTAACAGATGTTCTTGCCTGGAAATCCCTAAAAGTGGCAAAAAACCAGGGTCAAATTATATGAAGAAATGTAATTCGTTTTTCTGGGGAAAAGACAAACTTGTTAGTTTTTGTCATAGTAAAATATAGTAATGTCAATTCATATTCCGTTTATATTCACACTAATGTATGCTCATTTTTTAGTTGGCCGGATATCCATAGTTATGTAGATGATACTACCCTTTTTTGTCATGGGAAAATCATCAAATGACTTCTTCCGCCCAGGGTTAGGCGAGAGAGAGTGTCAGACTCTTACTGACTAAAAACGCCCCCGTTCCATCTCCTGCTCTGGCCGAGGCCGCGGTGACTAATTGCGCTTACACCGCAACCCCGGCTGAACATCAGCCCTATAGGGCCCCGCCTGTGGGGGTCCATTGGATCTTTGAGGCGCGCGCGGTACGCTACGCGCCGTACGCTCGGGTAGATAATACTACCCTGGATGTCTCTATTAATTTGTATTATTGATGAGGTAGCTGTTCTATCGGCCACCATATAACGTGTCGCGGGCAAGATTCCCGCATGGAAAAACTCTGTGTGATCCATACATTGTTGGTCGGGTCTGAGTGTAATAAAATCGTAGGTTTAAATGACAACCACAACACAGGGCAATCCAAGTCCAAACTTATTATTAGTTTGGATTTGGATTGCCCATAATATGTAATATAATAATATTATTTATTATATTATAATAATATAAATGCAAAAGTAACTCTGTCTGCCAATCTATCCGTCTGTGTGTATTTTGTTCACGCCTTAACTACTAAATGGATTTTTATGAATTTTGGAACAGAAAAAGTTTGGAACTCGAGAAAGGACATAAGATATTTTTAAACCAAAAAATCTGCAGGATGTCACTATTTCACGCGAACGGAGTCTAGAGCAAAAGCTAGATTTTTATAAAACCAAAGCCTTGGCTTAGTTTAATTTTTGTAGAGAGAAATTAATCAAATGTCTTCTTCTCTATCTCTGGGTGGTGGGAGAGGAAGTGTCAGAGTCTTTCTTACTAAGTACCTAAACATCATCACGTTCCTTTTCCCCCTTCAGGCGAGGGCTGCGGAAGATTATTGGGTTTGCACCCACAACCTCGGCACTACTACACCTTACTACTCGGAAATCAATAGTGAGACCGATCCAAAGATTAGACCAATGAGGCGGTCATATTAAATTTAAAATGTTACTTTTTAAACTCAGCTAACTCCGTAGATACTCTTTTCAATTATAATATCAAAGTTTAAAGGCTGCTGTTTTTCAATAGTCAGATAAATGTTATCAGAGGGATAAAATTGTTGCTGTCACTGTCTTATACAAACATTCTGACGCGACAGCATCATAATTATACCGCCGATAACTTTTACCTAACTATTGAAAAATCAGCCCTAAATATTATATTTATAAACGATGTGTGTTAACGTTTATTTTTATAATGACAGTATTATTTTCTGTTTAAATATCGAAGATTACCTAAAATAGAAACTTTAAATTTTAGATTTGATACTGTGACAAATATTTAAATACTAAAACTAACCAAATCAGTTTAACCGTATACGAATATTACCAACCACTCTAGCTAATAGTAGGTGTCTCATAATATTCTAAATCAAATGCATTTTGCAATCGTAAAGTACCATATAATGCAAAATTATGGAGCGTTGTTGTAGCTTTCCCATTCACCTTAGATATAAAATAAAATAAACTTGAAAATGTATACTAGGTTGACTTACTTGTATGACTATAATATGATGCATATAAAATAATTTAAATAAAAATAAGTGTCGGAGAGCCAAGTTGACGGCGTCCCAACTTAAAGATTTTTAGGTTTCGTTTATATGTTTATTATTTTGGTCGCAAATAAGTAAAATTAGTTGTGACTGTGTTAATAATTACATGGAGTGTGGGACTGCCATGCTTCGGCAAGAATGGGTCGGCTCGACCCGAGTGATACCACGGCCTCATATACACAGGTTTACTGTGAGGCCTGTTATCATTCCGGTCAAACCGACCCATTTGTGCCGAAGCATGGCTTTGCCACACAAAAATACTATGACTGAATTTTATTGTTGGCCTTCATTCGTCACATCATAGGTGCTATACTATGGTGTTTTTTTTACATTTAACGAAGCTTATAAAATAACAGTGAATTGCCAATAAAATAAACAAGAAACTCGATAATACTCGGAAAACAATGAAAAGTTTTATTTAAACACTTGTCTTACTAAACACGGGGGCCATATGTTCAGTAATCAGTGAACGCTGACAAACAAACAGACTTTGTTTAGTAAATAGAAATGCACCAGTGCTGTACTCGTGTTTCTATGAAAATCTCTGTAAGCACTGCCGTGGGAACTTTGTGTACGATAGTTCAGTCAAGGAGGTCAGTCAAAAAGGTTTTATGCATTTAAAAGAGATTTTTGGATAACGTTCTTAGCACTGGCCTTTTGCGCTTTGATGTACTTTTTGTTTTATTTTTCTGTTTGCGAAACGAATTGCGAATGTGTACTCAAAGTGTAATAAATGGCATTTATATCTTTCTTTCTTTAGATTTGAATTTGAGAAAAAAAAACTGTTTTATTTAGTTCTTATATCCGTGGAAACAATCCTTTTCTTACATCAATATTTTATGAATTAGGATATAGGATAGGATATTTCTAGAAAAGTTAATAAGCAATGAAAAAAACTAAACATAAATTGTAGACGAGCTATACTTCGGCACGAATGGGCCAGCTCGACCGGAGTGATACCACGGCGTTTTATTGTGTGGGTAAAATTATCGGACATCCATTACTTTCCAACTCAGTCAGTAAGTCTCCAATATTCAAATTCCTTACAACCTACACGCAAGCTAGCTGTTCGTCAGTGAAGCTAGATGCTCGTTCCAAATTGTAGTTTCGAATGGCTTACTTGTTTCCCAAAACCATCGAAAACTAAAGCATATTATTGAAATATTTTACCCTCAAAAAACAATGAATTAAACTCACATCATCCTTTCTGCCTCCTCACAGGAGGACGTCATACTGTTCTACAGCACAAAAAATATCACAAAACAGTACCTACACATTTGAAAGGGTACCCACAATAATGTTACGGGCAATATCCAAAAACAAATACGGAAACTTGATCGAAATAAATGGTTTGTCAAATAGAATTCTTTTCCTGACTCTAAATCCCCTTCTCTAGAGAAAAAGCTCCGATATCCATCTCTAGAGGAATGACAGTGAAGTAATATTTTCTATATCATGCGACTACTTGCTTAGGCCGGTTTCTGGGGATGACATATATGATGAAATACGAAGGAAATATGGAAATATATAACACCAAAAACTCATATTTGGGTTTTTGGATACAGCTGAGTCGGTTTTGGTGTCAGTGAGTACCATGAGTATAGCTTTGTAGTCTTTTTGAGTAGCTAAATTTGATGGTATTACTTTCTAGATATAAGTGTTTGATCTGTCGATCTAAGATATCTATTACAGGTCCGTTTTTTTCATTAAATCTGATCAGAATGTAAAATTATTTTCTATGTAATGTCTTTGAACCACCCTAAGGCAGTATATGTATAATGCCTTAGGGTGTTGCATGCATGGATTGTTGTATACATTCACACATGAAGTTTCAATAAAATGTATGGGATTGACATCGACACAAGCCCAACCCTTCACTAACACAATTATGGCGTGGTAGTCTAGTGGTGTACACTGCCGCTTGGCAATGCGTTGGGTGCGATTTCAAACTCGCGGTAGTGTAACCCTTCAGTAACGGACTAACTGACGGCGTTTTCTATTTTTATTGCCGTTTCAAAAGTATTTTATGATTTGACTTTGACGTTCGACAAACTGTATCAATGATGATCAAATTGTATAGATGATGATAATGATCGACTTTAACTCGTTCGAATACTGCTTAATTGCCTACTTACAGATTAAAATCAATACAGCGAATCGAAATGAAATTTCAGGACACTCTCTCAGTAAGTAACCCTGAAAAATAACTGTAGGTACCTACGTTGTTCAACAAATATTTTTCACAACTCATATAATGTTATTTCATTGAACGAAAGTTTTAATGATATGTACATGAGAGTTTTCTGTATGTTGTAGGTAAATATTTGTAATACATATTTGTCAAAGATTTTTTTAGAACTTGTCAACAAATTGCTATTCTCAGTATTCCTATAATAATATTATATAAAGACAATTTTCGAGACGTATTATTTATTGATTGATGATTGGGACAATTTCTGTGTGTTTGTGGTATGAAATCTAAAGATCAAAAATGTTCAATATATCAGTAAATAATACTTAAAGTAAATAATATAATACTGATCTAAGTGCTTCAAATTCTATAAGAATAAATTTGAATCAATTTTCAACTCAAAATTAATAACGGTAAGACGTGATTTCAAATAATATCCATTTTTAATCATTTATATAATTATACACAAATATAAATCATGTTTTCTGAAAACAAATGCTGAGCAACAATATCAAATGGTCCTTACCTTTTTGCTAATTGCTCCTGAAAGTACCTTCTTCGCTCTACGAGCTTAGTGTCGTTTCAGCTTAGTCTCACAGAGCTTTCAGCCACCTGAAACATAATTGTTACAATTAATAATTCAGTTACAGCCTACGACTAATGTGAAACTGAATTGGAATGAGGGAAAATAGGAAACTCCGTTTTCTATTAATTTATGATTGCTATTTAGTTGGACGGGAAAAGTTTCACCTTCTGTTTTGTTAACAGGAAAATTATGAAAATGTTTTATTTAAATTGTTTTATTGCTTTGCTGCTAGTTGTGTTAAAACAATTGCTATTTATAAAATAGGAGGCAAAAAGAACTATCCTCAGCACCAGCAAAAAAGAAGTCTACAACACACTGATGTCTCCGTCAGACATCAGTGTGTTGTAGACTTCTTTTTTAAATGTGCCCCATACTAAGATTTTCTCCTGTGTCATGGGTGCGCTTACAGATAAACAATTTCACAAAAACAAGTCACCTAGACCCGAAACAACAATTTGTAGACTACATAAAGATTTGTTTCGTGCAGGATTTGAACCCGCGACACGTTGCGCCACAGCTCGCCCAGCCACCGCGAAAACTGTGCAGTCTGGCTTTTGGTTGGTATAAGGGTCTAAGGTGACATTCGTTATATTATTATACAAAGCTAAACCCGTTTTTATATTATTAAGACTATATTAGCCTGTACAGGAGCGACGAAACCCTAAATAACTCATTTGGGACATTCATACCTCTTCCACTTCAGTAACATTCATTACACATGCTTATGAATTAATTATTTTTGAATTCTCCTGTTGGTCTAATTGGTTACCTATTTGGTTTAACATGTAGTTGCGAACTTGCCAGTTCGCTAATTGATTGAAAAGTTGTTAGCACAAGACTTTAAAATTAGAACTACATTTTAATTGTATTTTTACAGTTGTTCTTAATTTTAACTAAATTACCAGTTAGAAAAGACCGAAGGACGAGTAGACGAGTAGACCAAAAGAAAACGATTTTAATTTTTTTGTGACTATTTGTTATTAGTTATTTTAATCGTAAAGCTGTAACGTGGTCGCAGTATTTTCTATGCGATAAATAAATAATTATAATTCACCAATCAATATAAACTAATCCTATTACTATAAAACGAGATTGTGTTAACTAACAGGTTTCAAATAAACTTTATTATAGTACGTAATAGAATTATATCACAGGATTTTCTCTTTTATTTACATAAAGAAATAAGAAAAAAACTTGCTAAGAGGTTTTTTTGTTCATAAGTAATTGTCTTATTTTGTATACTTATATAATATACGGCTACTTTCTTATATACAGGATTCGTAGAAGTGTAAACAGTACTTTGAAGGGCTATTAATGGAAGCCGAGATTGCCCTTTCCTGATACATTGGTCTCGTAGGCATAGCAGTGGGCCCAGTACCGAGGAGAAATATTTAAATTTGAATTTTAATTTGATGATTTGTTTGTAATTTTATTAGTTTTATTTTATTTTAATTGTTGTTATTATATTCGTTGTAAGTGATTCGTTGTAAGTGATGATTGAGTTATGTTCTGAAGTAAAAAATAAACTAAAGAAATAACTAATTGTTTTGATATATTTTTCTTGTTAGGTGTTATACAAAAACATATATATCTACAATTGACAGAATATATCTTTTTGTCCTCGTGTATTATTGGAAGCAACGACTTTATTCGTCCTGGTATCGAAAGCAGAACCTCTCATTTGGCAGTTGTAGATACTTATTGACTGCATTGTTGGTACGATAGCTATCGTACCGGCTGCCGTGCAACGTGTCGTCAATTCAATCCCTGTACATAATTACTCTTTATTAGATTCACAAATTGTTGTTTCTGCATGAATGATATAACGTAATTGTATATTTCTGAACAAACCCACCAGTGAAGGGAATCGTGTTTTAAAATACATATTGAATACCACTATATCACTCAGGTTCATCTTAGATAAAATGATATTTGTATTATCCATACTAATATTATAAATACGAAAGTAAATTGTCTGTCTGTCTTTTCTTCACGTCTAAACTGCTGAACCGATTTCTGTGAAATTTGGTACAGACATATTTGGAACTCGAGAAAGGACATAGGATAGTTTTTATACCAAAAATCTGCAATTGAGGAATCATTCCACGCCTTCGGAGTCGCGGGCAAAAGCTGGTATAATATAAAAAAGATTGAATTAAAAACTATTTCTTATCATTACTTTACCGTTTTATGTTCTTAGCAATCACATCGAAAGCGAACAAACGCATTATCCTTTCTATGTTTAAAAAAATATTTAAGTTAGACAAAGCAAAACCATAAAAACTTCGTGTCACATCAAAAAAAAAAATGTTACGTTTGAAAAGTAACTACAATTCAAGGTGAAATTTGAATATTTATGAATGGCAGAACATAGTAGTATAATGTCATTCTGTCTGTCTGTCCGTCAATAATTTGCTTCGCTTGTCTAATCTTTAGAAGCGGTAAAGTCTATATTCGGTAGGTATATATCCTTCAAAAAATAAATACTGAATATTTATTTACCGGAGTGGTACCACAGCTTCACAGAATACCGGCGTGAAACAACCCACAGCGTTGTTTCGCCGTGTGAGTGAGGTTACCGAAGGCCCAATCCCTCCCCTTCCTCTATCCCTTCCCAATCCTTATATCCACAACCCCCATCCCCAAAGGACCGGCAACGCACTCGTAACTCCTTTGGTGTTGCGGGTGTCCATGGGCGGCGCCGATTGCTTGCCATCAGGTAATCCGTCTGCTCGTTTGCCGACTTATAAAAAAAAAAAATTTTTTTACAGTCGATTTATGTTGCTTGAAAATAACCTATTGGTATAATATAATAAAATTACTAACTATACTGTGATTTTGCCATACGATTATTAAGGTACCATTGACTGAACGTTGACTGACGAACTGTCTAGTACGCTGAAAGTATACATCGTAGTAAAGTATCATTAGATCGTGGTGGCCCCGCGGTTAAGGAGCCCGCTTCTCATGCATGAGGGTGTGGGTTCGAAACCTGGCAAGTAGTAATGTGACTTTTTCCGAGTTATATGTACTTTCTATGATTATTTAGACATCACTGACACACATTCAGGGCAGATAATAATATACATTTAATGTTTATTATATGTCCGTCTTGGATTCCGTAGCGAAATAAATCAGAAGATATCAATCAAGGAGAAGAATAAACGAAATAATTTCCACTTCCAATCAAAAAATCTATTGAACAATATGTTTATAGTTCTTTTACAATAGAAAATATTATTGTAATAAAGTAGTATAGCGATATTATTTCAATTAAATTCTCCTCACACCTATTCTAGTAGCACGGGGAACTGTTACTATTGTCTGATTTCCCCTGGGACGGTCCCGTCCTTGGAGACTGATACTGGCACTTTCACCTTGACTGCATGTGACTACCGCAATATTTTAAATAAATAATCATACGCTATTGTCTACAACATTATGAACAGAGTGAA